GTGTGTGTGTGTGTGTGTGTGTGTGTGTGTGTGTGTGTGTGTGTGTGTGTGTGTGTGTGTGTGTGTGTGTGTGTGCAGAATATTCACAGTAGTCCACAGAGAGCTGTGCAGTTGTCAGACCAAAACATGGACACTGAGTATCTTTATCCCGTTTACCTCAGTGTTTACAGCGTCCCAATAAATTTCACTTTACTGCTCCAACAGGCCGGACTTCATGAAGCCATGATGACTGCCTCACCTACCTGCTACCTTCTCTCTCAGCGATCAGGCTAACGAGTGCCTAAGCTGAGGAAGAGGAGAGCTATGTGTTCGTGGACATGTAACATTTCTTGTTAGCTGGAACTCTTTCGTTTCCCCCTTCATAACAACTGTTTATAACTCACCTGTTTCGATTAGTCATTAATGTTTGCATTATCAGGGGCGTGGCTTCTTTGACCGACAGGTGGATGGGGACACAGGTGGCTGTAGCTGCTAACTGTCTGCTAGGCTTCCCCTGAGCTAACTGGAGTCCCTGAACTGGACCTCTGGCTGCGTTTGTGCTGTTGGAGTGTGTTTAACGACATGTCCTGGTGGTTTTACAAAGATTTTGCATTAACTGTTAAGGAATTTCAGTCATTTTCACACACAGCCTGGCCTTCCATTTGTTGAGTGTAACCGGCGGTTTGCACCTTTTGACCGTAGACTCTGACAGCGATGCGTCTGTCTCATCGAGCATATTCACCACTTGGTTAGTTGTGACGTTGTTTTCCTGAACCATAGAAATAATCCTGTCATCATTCGCTTCATGTGTCGTCTGTGGTCTTTTGGATCCATAAGAATGAACTCAGCTGTAGATTGTTTTTCCTCTCTAGCTGATAGGCTTAATCAATCAGCTGTTTAATTTTTCCATGAATATTAAGAGGATGGGACACGGCTGGTCATACCACGATCGTCTGATTTAAAATCCACTGCACTGGTGTATGGAAGCAAATCCACAAAACAAAGGTCCATAAGTTTATGGGCACAGACTGAAATCGTGTTGCAAACATCTCATCCACACTTTGGAGTTTGGTGCTCTAATGAATATTAGGCTGAGGCAGAAGCTATACAGGTTCTCAGTGTTGCACAGAGTCACCCACATCTTTGCTGTCTTATCTTTACACCTCGGTTGTAAAGCTGAATAGAAGAAGAACTTCTCCAACGGATGTGACAAACTTCCTTCTTTGTCCGTCTCCTGCCGGTTCACCTCCCTCCTCCCCTCAGTCCTTTGTCTGCTTTTCTTTTGTTTCCCTTTCTCTTTGCTTTCACGTTCTCACTTTAAACTTTGATCTGATGTTGTTGTTTTGACTCCTGGCTAATGAGTAGCTTCTGCCACGTGTCACTTCCGACTCTGGCTCACCTGCTGTCCACCTGGCTGGCTGTGTCTCTGAAAACACACACACACACACACACACACCTGTCTTCAGAATGAACTGTGAACTCTGCTGAATCAGTGAGCTCAAAGGTCACAACGTCTGAGCGTTGAGCCTGTTAATAGTTGAATTCTATTGAACCTCTAACATGGTCACTGCTTGGAGGGGGCCTGTGGTGGTGGTCTGCAGTGCTGCTGCAGGGGAGGCGAACGCACCTGAGCTGCATCTGCAGTCACACCTCGGCTAGCTCCTGGACTGTACAGCAACCGTGAGTGTAAATAAAGATTACGCTGCAAAGCATGAGCGTGTCATCAGGTCTGCCGTGGTCACAGGGCCAATCAAGGTTAAGGGCAAAGATAAGGTAGCGGAGCAGTCTAAGGCTGCGTCCACACCAACGCGTTTTCATTTGACAGCACATGGTTTTCTCTCCGTTTTGGCCTCCCGTCCACACTGAGACATACATTTCAAAACAGCGCTTTCGTGTCACAGTGTGGACGGTGAAAACAGTCATGTGATGCAGTCATGTGACCAATTAAACAATGATAGCGGAGGGCATTACACAGCAGTTGTTTTGATTGACAGCCCTATTAAAGATTAATGTCTGTTCATGCTCCAGAGAGCTTTTCTTCAAATTCTTTAATTCTCACTCACTTTTGCAACTTTGTGCTTTTGTGTTACTCGCAGCAACAACTCCTCATTGTTAGTCCATTTAAAAAACTCGCTGCTTTTCCTCAACATTTTACTGCGACCTTTCAAAGAGCTGGAAAGTAAAGGAGCGTCAGACTAAATGAGGCAGGTTGAATCTTCTTGCGTTTCAGCCATGCGCAGAACTGGAACGTAAGCATTTTCTGCCATTTCAATGTGGATGCACAACTCTGAAAACAACTGAAAACACTAGTGTGGACGCGGAGCGTTTTCAAACAAAAACACGTTTTTTTAGACGAAAACGCCGTTTTCAAATCTATCCGGGCTAGTGTGGACGTAGCCTAAGCTGGCCCAGTCCTCAGCCACCTTCTCCTGAGGTGTTCCCGGGCCATTAAGGGATAGAAAATCCTCCCTCTGCTTTGTTCTCTTGTCCCAGTTGGATGGACTTACAGTTGCCTGTAGTGGGGTAAGACCCAGTGCAGGGGCACCAAATGTGAATGACATGCAGCAGGAGTGAGCGATAAGGGAGCAAAAGGCAAAAACACAAAGAGAAGCTGCTTGCGTGTAAAACGTCCGCACTGCCGAGTTTCTGGGTCAGGACTAAACCTGCAGGACTCATTTTTGGTATGTGGGCTCGTTAGAGCACAGTGCTTCTCTTTGAGCTCTGTGTTTGGTCTCTACCAGCTCTTAAGCAAAATATCTAAGTGATGCTTTGAGGCAGTGAAAGCGTACGGTAAGTCAAAAGTGCCAAGACCGAATCCAAAAATTAACCACTTAAGGAAATAAACTCATAATCAGCTGGTATTTACTCCTGATGCCATAAAATTACAGTTTAAATAGCTTTCAGTTTCTTTCTTAGTGCATTGGACCTCACACTGATACTAATCAAGCACAGCATTCGTCTCACCTTGGCGTCCAGTCCGTAAACCTCATATAAGACATGCTGGGTCTGCTTTATCCTACAGTCACATCTGCAAGCCTCTTTGCAACCCAAATCATCTCCAGCTCCATCTTTTTCTTGTTACTGACTTAACGTTATATCTGCTGTTATTGATGCTGCTGTCTGTTGTTGCTCTACAGAACCGAGTCCCAGCCCCAAATATAAGTAAGTGCAGATGAAAATGACACGCTTCATTAGCTGTGTGGGCTCTGTCTGAAACCTGTTTTTATTCTCCAGCAAAGATTCAGTAAACGTGTTCTCTCATCTCTCATCTCGTCTGGTGAACTAAGTCTCTGGTCAGATTAACACCAGAGTGCTTCACAAGCCAGCGATGCTCAGCACTGTGGATGTGTCTGAAGTACAGCCTGTCAGCACACCTGACTGGAAAATAACACCACTTCTTTACTTCGTTGTAGTTACATCACATCTGTAGGCTCAGCACTGAAAGCTGACTTTTTAGTGTCATATGTTCCAGTTTAGTTTTTCATGTTCAGTTTATGTGTGGGGGTTGTTTTCTTCTTTTTTCTGGACATACAGAGCTTCCCTCCAGATTAGATGATATCCCACACACAACAACCCCACCTGTCCCTCTGTTAAGCCTGTTTTTCTTCAGGTTCAGCCGCACATCAGCCGAATCATTGTGCAGATATTTGTATTAAAAATGCTCCAAAAGGCTCCAACAGCACAAACACAGTTTCGAGGTCCAGTTCAGAGACTCCAGTAAGCTGAGGTGAAGCCTCCTTAATACAGTTTAAAAAACATAATTTACAAACTAATTCAAGATAAGATGCTTTGATTTTTCCAAGAACTTATGTGAACATTAATTGTGAAAAAAATGAGATTTGCAAATCATTGATTTGTTTTTATTTCACGCAGCTTCTCAGCTTTCTGGGTTCTACTTTGTTGGTTCCCAATGAAGGTCCATGACAGGAAGTAAACTCTGATCTCCTGAATAAAGGTAACGCTCATTCAGTTCAGTACAATTTTATTGTACCAAATCACAACAACAGTCACCACAAGGTGCTTTATATTGTCAGGTATAACCCTGTAATAACACAGCCATGCTGATCCATATCCCAACTTTGTATATAAGACTGGTTGTCCTGTACTGACTTCTAAAGTTGACACTGGGTGAAACTTACAGATACAATCTAAGCACTGCGGGGATTTTAGGCCCAAACAGGGAGGTGCATTTTGATAAATTTTTTTAGGAAGTGCAGAGAAGTCAAAACTGGCAAAAATGTTTAATATTTGACTCGTCGTG